AATGTTACCCCTTGTTTATTCTTAGTGGATACCATTTGAGTCCAGGACTCAAGGCTTATCTCAGTGAAGCCCAGTGCAGAGAAGGTGTACAGCAAATGTTCTTTGAAATGTATATAAATCAATCACTTTGGGCTCTCACAAAATAAAAATTGAAATTAAAACCATTGCAATGCAAACATTGCATAAGAATTGGCATAAGGCTGACACAGGAGCACCAGATGAGCTGGGAAGGCTGGAAAGACAAACCTTGGAATTGTCCCAAAGTCCTCTTTGGGACTAAGGCCCTCATCTCAAGATTCAGGATCTGTGCCCCATCTGGGCCAGAGAGGCCAACACCTCCCCCTGCTGACTACTGCAGTGATCACACCAGAACTCACTGCTACAGGTGGCCCTGCAAAGCTTTTCCCCTCTTCTCAGCCTCAGCCTCTTAGAGAACCCACCTGGAAACTCAAAAGCTCTCAAACAATTCCACTCCTGCAATTGCTACTAATTCCTAATTAAGGATGCTGCCTCCCATAGACCTGAAGACTTTGGTCCAAATCTGTTGTCATCTCAGGAAGATGAGGTCAGTACTATTATCTCTCCTCCCAGGCCATTCCCCCAAGAGTCCTCATCCTCACAGCCTGCCCTGTAAGTGTTCACATGCTTATGGTTTCAACCACTGTGGACCTATATGGAAGAGAGATGCACCAGGCCTCACCCTGGAGTTGGGGAAGAGGAGGCCCTTGAAAGAGAAACTGAAAGGCAGTGAGAAGTCAGTAAGGGATCCAGGGCTCCCGGAGAAAAACCTATGAGATGTGGAAGATGACTGTCAGGAGGGAGCAAGAGGCTGGAGCCTGAAAGGGCAAATGGGCAAGCATCTAGGGCAGCCACAGTGAGAGCCTGGGGTAGAGTTGTATGCATATCTGGACTCAGGGAGTTGGGATGTGATATGATCACTTAGCCTAGGCCTCCACAGATAATGCCCTCTTAAGTGGGAACTTCCTCTTGATGTTATACAATGTCCAGTACAATCACTGGACAAAGACTTTGTGGACAGCCTTCCTTCAGGGTCACCTCACCAACCCAAGAGTTTCAGGACCTGGTTATGATTCTTCTGGTGAGCAATCCCATGGCAGGTCTCTCTATGCTGTGGACAGGTGGAAGCACTGTGAGGGACTTCCAGGGGGGAGGAGTCAGCCTTGGGGAGGGGGTTCCCAGTGCTCACACTTACCTCAGATCAGGTGCAAATCCCTTCAAGTTGCTTGTATTGGGGACAATACAATGGGATACTTGTAGGTTTGGGGGCCTAGAAGAAACATTGAGAAACTGGCTTGGAAGAAATAAAAGAAACTGGAAACCGTGGTTGCCTGTAGGCAAAGACTGGAGATATTGGGGTCAAGGAAAGGTGACTTATTTTTCACTGTTTTACCATACTGTACTATTTTCAGTTTCTATTACATGCTATAGACTAGAAGATAGATAGATACATAGATAGATTAAAAGGACAAGAATAGACAAGTCACAATGGGTCACCTTATTAAATAAACCTAACAATATGAAAAGGAGACTGCCCTGATGAGAGACAGGTTAATCATCAAAGCCAAGGGTTAGGGGAAACAGAGAAACTGGCACATTTATTTATCATTGGATATATGCAAATTGGTAAGCCCTTCTGAAAAGCAATTTGGCAACATTTATAGAGACATAAAGGTTTCTTCTTTTCACTTGATTCCTCAGTAATTCCACTTCAGGTTGTGTAGCTAAAACATATAATTTGAAATATAGAAAAAGTCACAAATATAAATATATTTGTTATAAGAGAACAGAATTTGGAAAAAATCAGACATCCGATAATATATAGAGAGGGGTACTTAACTAAAGTGATGTAAGTAAGGGATGTTAAGCAGCTTTAAAAAATGATAAAGATTAATAATAAGAAGCAATCCTATTCTACCTTGTTAAGTGACAGCAAAAGCATATACAAAATTGCATAAACTCTGTAGTAATACCTGTGTTTTAAAAACTGCATTGGGAAGAAGGAAATGCACCAAAATGCCAATAATTGTTGCATTCACCCAGTAGAGTTATTTCCCCATATTTTGGTAACATAGTAACCCTATTTTACATGACAAAATGAAGACATGATGTCTGTTTTGCAATCTCTCCACCTGTCAAGCAAGAGGACACATGAGTCCTCTTATCAGTTGGCGGTCCAGAGGAACTTCAGGAGAGCAAATGCACACCGAAGATCAAGCACCACTATGTATGTCTCTATTTCCAAAATGTTTGAAGAGAAACTTCCGGGATGTGAGAATTCCAGCTGCTGTGTCAAACATAAGTGTAATTCAGTCCAAGTCCAAGGCCCGAGAACCAGGAACACTGATGTCTGAGCAGGAGAAGACAAATGTCTCAATTTAAGTAGAGAGTGAATTTGCCCTCCCTCCACCTTCTTGTTCTTTTGGGGCTCTCAACAGATTATGTGAAGTCACTCACATTGGGGAGGACATCTACTTTACCCAGTCCACCCACTCAAATGTTAATTTCTCCTGGAAACATCATCACAGACATACTCAGAAAGCAGTTTACCGACTACTTCATATTTCTTAGCCCAATCAAGTTGACATGTAAAATTAACTAGCATACAGAAAAGTCTATCACTGTTTATTCTCCAGGGAGAAAGTCAGAGAGACATTGATCTTTGTGAGCCCGGCACTAGACACATGAACACCACAGGAAAGCTGAAATCCTGCTTCCCAAACAGGCTAGCGTGGTGTTCTTTCACGTCAAGAGTTTGTAATGTGTGTGCTCACCATACTTAAAGGGGGCAGGGAAACTGTTCTGAGTGAGGATGGGGAACAAAGTTCTCTGAGGGAAGCCTTTAGTCTTTCCTCCATTGTTCAAGCAGGTAATCCCAAAATTGGCCAAACCCAAGCCTCACTGAGGCCACCCCCTTCCCTTCTTAGCCTCCAAGTACTGCTATTCTACTATCTACTTCTATGTGATCACATTTTACCTATCATAAATGAGAATATGCAATATTTGTTTTTCTGTGCCTGGCTTATTTAACTGGTATCCTCTAGTTCCATCCATGTTGCCAAAAATGATGGTATTTCATCCTTTGGTGGATAATACTCCATCATGTGCATATGCATTTCCTTTATCCATTTATCTGTCAACAGAACCTAGGTTGATTCCAAATCTTGCTTATTGTGAGTAGAGCCACAAAAAAACATGGCTGTGTAGCTATTGCTTTAGTATAAAGATTAATTTCCTTTGGACATATATCCAACAGTGAGATTGTTGGATAATATGTTCTATTTTATGTTTTTATAAACCTCCATACTGTTTTTTATAACAGCTATACTAATTTACATTCCTACCAAGAATGTATAGGAGTTCCCCTTTCTCCACATTCTCACCAGCACTTTTGTGTGTGTGTGTGTCTTTTTGATAATAGCCATTTTAACTGGGATGAGATGATGGCTCAGGGTGGTTTTGCAAATCAAAACCATTCCCTAATGATTAGTGATGTTGAGCATTTTTTCATATGCTTTTGGGGTGTTAGTGAATCTTCTTTTGAGAAATGTCCATTTAGATCATTTGCCCATTATTTAAAATGATTTTTTTTTTTGATATTTTGCTGTTTTGTTTGAGTTTCTTATAAAGTCTGGGTATTAACACTTTATCAGATGAATAATTTGCAAATGTTTTACCCCATTCTATAGGTTGTCTCTTAATTCTGCTGATTATTTCCTTTGCTGTACAGAAGCTTGTTAAGTTTTGCATTTGGTGTCTATTCTTTCAGGGGCATACCCCCCAAAAATCATTGCCTATCCTAATGTCTTGAAGCAATTCTCCTACATTTTCTTCTAATAGTTTCAGAGTTTCATGTCTTATATTTAGATCTTTAATTCATTTTGAATCCTTTTTTTTTTTAATATGGTGAGAGGTAGTGTCTAGTTTAATTCTTCTGCATATGTCTATCCACTTCTCCCAGCACTGTTTATTGAAGAGGCTCTCCTTTCTACAGTGTATGTTCTTGGAGCCTTTGTAAAAAATAAGTTAACTTTAGACGGGTAGATTTATTTCTGGGTTCTCTATTCTGTTCATTGATTTATTTCTTATGCTTTTATTAGTTTATTATAGCTATACACAGTGGTGTTCATTTTGAAATAATTACAAATGCATGGAACATAATTTGCTTTATTTCAATCCCCGGTACCTCCCCTTTCCCTCCCCTTTTTACTCCACATGTTCCCCCTCCTCTATTTCATTTGCCTTCCCCCCATCTATTTATTGTTTTTAAAATTGGTACTTTATCAGTATACATAAAGGTGGAATTCACTGTGGTACATTCACATAGGCACATAGCATAATTTTTTCTTTTTTTATTTGTTCTTTTTAGATATACATGACAATAGAGTCTATCTTGACATATTACACATACATAAAGTATAATTTACTCTAATAGGATCCCATTCTTGTGGTTGTGCATGATGTGGAGCTTCACTGGTCATGTATTCATATATGAACATAGGAAATTTATGTCTGATTCATTCTACTGTCTTTCCAGTTCCCCTCCCCCTCCTTCCCTTCATTCTCCTTTGTCTAATCCAATGAACTTCCATTCTCCTCCCCCCTCATTGTGTGTCAGTATCCACATATCAGAGAGAACACTCAGCCTTTGGTTTTTTGGGGATTGACTTATTTCCCTTAGCATGATACTCTCCAGTTCCATCCATTTACTGGCAAATGCCATAATTTCATTCTTCTTTATGGCTGAGTATTATTCCATCGTGTCTATATAACACATTTTCTTAATCCATTCATCTGTTGAAGGGCACCTAGGTTGGCTCCATTGCTTTGCTATGTGAATTGAACTGCTATAAACATTGATGTGATAAAGCAATGAGTATTTTTAAAACTCAGTACTCCTTGCAATATACACCCCTCCCCAAAAAAATCCCCCTTTAAAAACCCAAAATGAAACAAAGAAAATGAATCAATATAGACAGGTCTCAAAAATCATAATTTTAATGTGAAAGAACACAGAATAATATGCACATAAAATTTTAAACACAAAAATATCAGTGTTCATGGATACATAGATGAAAAAATACATAACGCTGAATATAATTCACACCAGATTGAGAATAGAGGCTGCCTTTAAGAGGGAGATAAATGGATGAGGCAGAGTGAGGAACAAAGGGGAATCTTCAACATTATCTGTAATTTTTTCTTTTATTTAAAAATGTGAAGCATATATGAATAATTGCTAACCACTCTTAAATTCTGGGTGGTGAAAACCCTAATTTCTCAATAAAACTAAACCCAAATCCCCAATTTAAAATTCCCAGAGATTAGATGTCATGCTTTGCTACCTTGCCTATTTTTGTCTTCCCCATTTGGAGCTCTCTGAGGTTGCAGATGTTGGTAGCTGAGTCACTGGGACTAAGTCCACACACTGGTCTCAATATCTGGGAAGCAAGCTCTGGATCTAGGCTGGTACTTCTCAGAAGCACACATCCCTTTTGATGACCAGGGGAAGTACAGTGCTGTGGAAAAACCACTCCTGAGCTATTTAGCATCATCACTGGCCTTCAGCCAAGAAGATTTTGATCTAGCATTGCAGCTATTTTGTGGCCCCTCGCCCTTAATGGATTATGCAATGCGCGTGACTTCAGTCTTGGCTTGGCTAGGAAGGCTGCTCTCTAGCTCCAGAACTGTGGTGACCTATTGGGCCTGGACAGCCCACCTCCTACTTTATTTGGCAGAAGAACACTCTGTGGAAAAACAGAAGTTTCCCGCATATATAATAAAGCAAACATGGGCTCTCTCTCCCTCTCTCCCCAGTGTGGAAGCTCGATCACTAAGGTCATAGAGCCGTCCTGTCCAGGCTTTTCAAAATTACTTCCCTGTTGTGTGGTCTTTCCGTCGCCTTCTTTTTCCTTGGCTTGATTTCGCCCCCAGCCTACTTCACACGGAGGAACTCCGTCTCAACCACCCAGGTAGGATGCGGGCAGGACAATGCTTCCAGCCCACATGCCTCTGACTCTCACAAGGAATGGACAGCCCTGGTGACCTTGGGCACCCCAGCCTTTCCACAGGACATGGTAAGCCCCCAGACATTTTTGCACCACAATTTTAGGATCCAGCAGCATTGAAACATTCCGACAAAAGTGAAAAAATTTGACAGGAAGTGGAAAGAGAATAGAGTGACTTACTTCCTCTAAAATCCTGTTTCAGAAAACCAGCCGGGTTAAGGAAGCCATCCACATGTAAGTCAGAAACCCTCAGGAGGGCCAGAGCTGTGTGATTCCTAGGTCATAGGAAGGGGGTGCAGGCAGTTTGAATGGAAGCCAGTTCAGTTTTCTAGTTTATTATCCAAATGCCAGAAGTCTCTCCAGAGAGAACACACAGGGGCACGGAGGAGCTAGGAGTCCCAGAGGGAGCTTGGGCACTGTTGACCGACCCCTTGCCTGGCTCTGCAGGGAGCCTTGTACCTGGCTCCAAAGAGCCCGGGTCTACATGCCCAGTGATAGGCAGGGCCAGATGAAAGACAAGACAGCCTAACCATAGAGATCAGATCCAGGAGACCGAGAGGCTAGACTGGCAGGCTTATCAGCCAGGCCCTTTCAAAGGCAGGAGGGCATTCAACTGGAGGCACCTGCTTTGTCTTAATCTCCAAGACCTTTCCTAGAAAACAAAGCTGTCTGGAAGGGCCAGGCAGCTGGAATGCAGCAAGGCCAGCCAGCAGCTGGGGGAAGTGGCTTGTAGAAAAGAGAGGCAGGTGGCTGCCTTCCCTTGGAGCAGGCCTCAGGCTCCAAGGGCAGAGTACCAGGAGGCCAGGGACTATGACTCAGTGAGACTTCACGCCAATGTCCTCAGCTAAAGACATCAGCAGTGACTATTTTGGAGGGACAGCATGATGAGCATGGCCACATACAGGGAAAATCTGGATTACTAGGAGCAGCAGAACGGGACTTTATCCTACCCCATGGTTTACTAGTTGATGACTTGGCATGTTGTCTTTCTGCACATGTTCCAGAACAAGTAAAAGGGGTAACACCACCCACCTCATAGGGAGCAGATGAAATCAAGTAAAGTGCAGGGATTTCTGGTCACGGGGTTTGCTCATTGCAGCATTTGCTCTGTTAGGCATTAATAAAGAATCACTCCTACTGCCCCCAAAATACCACCAGGTCCATTTCCAGGGCAAAGGAGATTAATTGATGTCAAGTCTCTGGGTAAGGTCCTAAAGGGATTGGCTTCTGTTTTGTAGGTTGATTCCATCTCCCACCTGTGCATACAACCCCTCCAAAAACACACCACGAGGCACCCAGGGTCAGACCAGTTTCCACAGATGACATCCCATTACTCCTGGGAAAGGCTGGGGACAGATCTATCTCATTTCAAGATCAGCTGCCACACAGCCCTAAATCTTCAAGCTTTCTATGCCCCCAGAGCCCACTCCTACTGTGACCATTCCCCTAGCTTAGTAGAGACTGTGTTGCCACCTCTAGGAAGGCAGTCCACTGCCCCCAAGCCTAGGGTTTCCAGACTCTACCCACAAATCCCATATTGCCCTGGGGTGGGAGGTTTGAGAATGACTTCTCTTGATTGCTCTGTTAGGGACAATCTGATGATTTCAGTTTGCAAGTGCAGTTCTGAATGTCAGGCTAGCATGCATGGGCTAGCATGATAAACTTACAGAGGGTTGTCATCACAGAGCAGTCTGGGGGTTGGGAGGGCACGTATTCCCTATGAGCCACCTAAACTCAGGGACTTGATAGTGTTGCCAAAAGACCACCCTACACTGAGAGCCCTGATGACCCCCAAGAACAGCCATGCTACCCAGATAAGGCTCAGAACTAAGTCAGCACTGCTGCAGGGAAGATTAAAGATAAAATGAGAGCTCCAAAATCCCAGTCACAAAAATGGCGCCAGATGGCAGGTTAGAAGAACAGCTAAAAACACACAAACAGCTACATCCATGAGGTCTGTGGCTTCAAAGGCTCTTTGAGTTCCACTTGCCTCCAATGGCACTGCTGAGTGGAGCAGGCTGTCAGGCTGCATAGAAACCCACAAGTGAAGCTCCAGGCAATGGGAGGTCGGGGGAGGTTGCAGAGTGTGAGCTCCAGAGCCAGACCCAGGGTACAATACAGTGCCACATGCCCTCCCTCTGCCTAGGGTGCCTTGCTTGTCACAACAGTACCCACTGGGGGTGGGGGTGTCATTAAGATCAAATGAGTCCATCCATGTAGTGTGTTTAGACAATGCCTGGTATCAGCTAAGTGTTAAATAGGTTAGCCATTGAACTGTACGTGATCTTGAAAACTGGGTCCTGACTACAGATAGGGCTAGCAAAGCACAGGAAGAACAGATAAATTTTGCCTGGCATAAATATATAAAGTGCCGCAGTCCGGCTGCAGCAAAATAACTGGGGGGTGACAAGCAACTTGTGTAGATTGATACAGCAAGAGTGGGAGCCATTTATTGTAGGACAGGAGTGGTATATATACATTCCACACAGCTTATCTTAATTAACATAAGCTCAATACAGCAGTCAACCAATAAGGAATCTCCACACTTAATGGCTCGCTGGCGTTACTTCACAAACCACTCCCTCTGGCAAAATACCAGGCGCCATCCTGACTTGTTTACAGACCCTAACAATAAAGGACTTCTTTTATACCTAATTTCCATTTAGTTTAGTCACCACCACTTTTGTATACTGTAAGTTCCAAAGGTCCTAGCCTGGGGCTTAAACTTTGTTTAGTGTTAGCACAAGGCCTATGCTCGCAAGTTCTATTCTACCAACAGTAAAAAGCCCAACTTTCCAGAGACTCAAATTCCTTACTGCCAAAGTTTCTGCCTTCTCCAAAATTGTTTTGTGTTTACCCATCAAACCTTTAAAATCACATTCGCAGACCATAAGCATTGCTGACAATCTGGTAAGACCAAGTAAGATTCTGCACGTGGGCAGTTTGTCATCCTCTCTGCACACAATACGTATTGTGGAATGTATTTCTGAACTGCTCAGGCACATTCTCCAGCCTTGCTGAGCTCAGCATGGCTCATACTCCAATCTTCTTCATGGGTGGAGGCTTGGCTGGGCCTTGGCTCACATGTGAAAATCAGGGATGACATTGGACACTGTGTATCTAACAGGTCTGAGACCAGGACTTAGGCATGGTGATTTTTCTGCAGAGCCTAGATTTCTGGATTTGGGACTGTTAAGCTCCTGATAGAAACTTGTTGTCCAGTCATTTTTCCCTACCATTTAAAAATTTAGAACAGAAAAATAACTAACAACAGTCTCCCAACTAAGACAGGCTCCCTGTTACTATGGGCCAGGCCAAGGAAGGAATGCAGAGAATGTGGAGCAGAGAATGCGGAAGAAGCCAAAGGCAGTCCCAGAAGGATTTTCTGCCTTTGGCTGTGGGCTCCTAATCACATTCCTCCTGTCAGCCTGAGGGACAGGTGCCACTCAGAATCCCAACCCCCAAATGGATGCTGGGGTCAAAAAGGGGTCTAAATAGTTTCAAAAGAAAATATCAAGGGGTGACTTTCACTATAAAATTATATCTCAATATACATGACTTAAAAAAAAAGTAAACAGAATTTATAAAAAGGCCTGAAGGACTTATTAAAATTAGAACATCTCATTTGCATTTGGGATGCTCCTTCTACTTAGAATGAGGGAAATGAATGGCTGGTTATCTGAAAGATCAACACATTTACGTTGACAGGGACCATGATGGAGCTCTGGGCAGGAATCGGCAGTCAACTGCAGTGGCAGCTATGGAGGATGGGAAGGGCAGTGGAAACCACCAGGGGTGCTGAGAAGCAGCAAGCCATGGCCACCTTTAGAACTGGAGCCCGAGGACAGGAGCTCACCCAAGTCCCAGGAGAGCACAACTCAAAATGCTGCCCGGAGCAGGGAGCAGTGGAGAAATGCCCAGAGCCAGCCAAGAGAAGCCAGGGCTTACCTAGAGAAGTCTCCAGAAGAGAGGGCGGAAAACCTTCTTTGGTTTCCTATAAAACGGAGACCATGGTGCCCACTGTTGCCTACCATGAGGTGGAGAGAGATGGTGCATCACAGGTTCTCCTGTGATGGCAGGAGAACCCACCTGAGTTTAGGGAAAGGAAGAAACCAAGGTGCTTGCTTATTATGGAAATAATAATGCTTCTCCCTTTGCCATTTCCTGGTATGGGCAGTGTGGATTTCCCAGAGCAACACAACCATCCAGCACCACTCATTCCCTAAGCATCCACCACAGAACACTCCCCCACCTTTCTATTTCAGAAGCTGGTCCCAGGGCAGGAAGCGTCTAAATTCTCCTTCCTCCAGTAGATCCCAACTAGAGTCACCTTGACAGTTTCTTGAAGAACACAGAATCAAGTTCTGCCTGGTGGTGCATCCCTGTAATCCCAGTAGCTTGAAAGGCTGAGGCAGGAGGATCACAAGTTCAAAGGCAGCCTCAGCAAAAGCAAGGCACTAAGCAACTTAATGAGACCCTGTCTCTAAATAAAATACAAAGTAGGGCTGGGGATGTGGCTCAGTGGTCGAGTGCCCCTGAGTTCAATTCCCAGTACTTACCCTCTTTCCCCCCTAAAAAAAGTTCTGGAGAAAATAAAGTAGCAAAAATAGTGGAAGAGGCACGATTCCCATTGGATGATGCTGTTTATTGAAAGGAAATCTTACATGGAGGTAGCCACAATAAGAACATCTCTTCCCCATGACAACAAAAAGCAACCAAACCATACCCGAAAGCAGAAAACCAACAGAATAAGCCAATTGGCATGATAGAAGGACACTTCAAAGCAGGGAAAAATATAATAGATATATGGTGATTGTCTCAACATTGCATTTGGCCACATATTTGTTTTTACATAAAATATTTTCTTCAAGCTAGCTAAAGAAAACTCTTGAGCAGGGTTAGTTTTTAAAGCAATAGACAAAAAAATATGTATATATAATAAAATCAAATAATGATAGCATATTCACACTAGGAAGGACCTGGGTCTAATCGTCATCTTGTCCCAGGCAGCACCCTGTTAAGGTCATGGGTAATGAGATGAGCTGGGACTTGAAAAAAAAAAAAAAAAAAAAACCTCCCTAAATCTCAGTCCAGTCAATCCCTTCCAGTAGCTTCCCAACCTGCTGTATTGCATGCCAACTCCATTATAGCTTAGGAATGTGCAATCATTCACAGGTTTAGAGGCCTCTTATCTGGGTGGTAATGTGTGTGTTTGGAATGGTGGCTTTGCTTCTCTTGAGGAGCACTTTTGCTTCTTGTTGCCAGCCTCACAGCTACCAGAAAGAATTAACCAGAATAAGGAGCAAATCAGATGCTCCCTCCCGAAGTCCTCAGGTGTGCTGTCTGGAGTTCAGAGTAGGCCAAGGCATTTCTGGGCAGGCTCATTGGCAAATGGATAGTAATGCAGCAGAGAAAGGAAGACCCCTCCCAGTGTGACTTCAGACTAGTCACGTTCCCCAAGAAGACAGAGGGATGTGGGGCTGGGCATGGAGGTGCTCAGCCCTGTGTCAGCTTGATTATTCTCTGTTGCCCTCTTCCTTGAACTCCAGGAGGGGAGGAGTTCTCGTCACTGCTGAGGTCCCAGGGCCAAGGACTGCACCTGATGTATCACAAATGCCCAGGACGTACTTGCTAAATGGGTTAATGGCTAAAAGGAAGAATCTGTCCACACCCAGAGGGTAAGCAGAGGCAAGAACCACCCCCAGCCATGGTGAGGGGACAGTAACCCTGGAGGTGGAGAAGGGCTTGGTTCTCTGGCTCCAGACACTCATCCTTCAACTGGGCCCATCACTCTGAACCCTGCTGAGTGGGCTCCGTGACTTGCCCCAGACCTCACCCATTCCCTGTCACTGCTTGCAGGAGGGTGAAAGAAGACCTCAGTTTGCATATCATGCCATTCTTTCCTCCCTCCTTGACGTCCATCTGAGCTCCAGCTCAACCTACCTCTTGTCTACACATGCCCCAGCTTTCAAGAACTTCTGTCTTCCTCACACTAATCCCACACACACAACCCATCTCCCCCTTCCTTCATCACTTAACCAGCCCTGTCCTGTCACTGAAGCCCAGGAACCCTGTCTCCCTGTGCCCTGCTATTTTCCCCATCCCAGGCCCAAGGGCAGTGGGGGGAGGAAGGAGACATGACAACGGGGCCCCATCCTTACAGAAATCACACCACTTGTTAAAAACCCTGCATACAAGTCTCCCCTCCCCACCTGTATAAAAGAAAGTGGTGACTGGGCACTGGTCTTAGCATGGTTCAGAAACTATAATTTTAGGTAAAATAAGTAGCCAAGGTCATAGATACAGCCTACAGGTAAGCGACCTTCTATCAGCAAGCTGTTTACCCAGATCACCTGAATACCGACTCGCAGTACTGATTATCCACTGTCACTATGTCAATTCCTTTTGTCCAACTCTGATTTTAAAAGTGGTCTTCATTCTCCGTCCTCTCTCTACTCTTTAACACTTAAAACCTAGTAGCTTCATATTTTAAGAAAGAATACTCAATATAGTGTGTGAACTTCACAAATTAGCCACCCTACAAAGGCTCTGGCATATTCCAAAATGGAACAGCAGCAGTCTGTGAGAAGGTCTGGTTAAAATATGTACAGTCTACATGTCACTTCCTTATCCGCACAGTGACTGTTAATAATAACTAGCATTTCGGACCCTTTCTCTTGGCAAAGGAGAGGAGGGCAGAAGCAGCCAATGAAAGTGGCCATGGAAAACGGCTGTGCAGAACGGGGCCTTCAGCCTATCAAATTATATTTTTGAAAATGCCCCATTGGGTGCTGGCTTCTCTTCCTTGTTTTAAATTGCAATAGCTCCATAAGATTCAAGAGCCACTGGACCTCAGAGAGACCCTAGGGAGGAATATAAGGTTGAGGAACCAGCATGTGGTGTGAAAAGGAAGTGGTGGGTCTCAGCTCGAGACACACTTCCTTCTGCTTTGGATGGCTGCAGTGTCCGTTAGGAAGGATGGGCCACTTCAGCCCTGGACGTGGACTCAGATCTGGCTGGTGGCGGTGCTGTCCTTGGGAAGGGAGTAGCTCAGTGGTGCCTCATAGAGGCTTCCCCCATCGGTGCTGAGGTCGTCATCGTCGTCCATGTCATCCAGCACTTTACTGGGCAGCTTCTTAAGTCTGCTGAAACAATAAGGGGCATGTTTCCTGGCCCTGGCTAGGGCTTATCTCTAACTTGGAGATGGAAGAAGATCTTGAGTTCCCTGTTCTCCCCAGACCGGCACATGAACTGCTCTGCACCTCAGTTCCTCCAGGTAACAAACTACCCACTGCCCACCTTTCACTACCAGAATTGATGTTGGAAGGCTGGGCCAGGATCAGTAGTATTGGTTCTTCCTTTGGTGCAAACTCCAACATGGCTTGGCAGGCACTGTTTTCGACCCTGTCTTAATATTTTAAAATTTTCATACCTTATTCGTCAGATTATATGCAATATTTTTTTTTCAAATGTTGCGTTAAAATGTTATTTTGATTCCTTAAATGTTGTACCCTAATGCTGACCTTAGGGCCAGTTTCCTAATGAAGATGCCCTGTGTTATAGGATTCTAAATGGGCTAAAGCCCTTCTGTCCATTTATGAGAACTACCTGGGCAACTGGCACAGAGCCCCCCAGGCATGGCCAGTCTCCAAGACAGGCTAACTCTATAGATAAGCATGAACCTAACCTCAACCCTCCCCTCAATGCCCTAGGCACTGATTCTGTGGTAGGGAAAGCAACCATCCTGCCCCATCTATCCTCATCATTAGAACTTCAGGAGAGGAGCTTGGGAGATCCCAGTCTTCCATGAGATAAACAGGCTAGGCCAAGAATTGTCCCTCCATGTTGGTGAGAGCTAGTCTGACCTCTGAGCCTCAGTTTCCCTTTATGGTCAACAGGACTATGACACTGAAGCACTGATGTAAGGATGACATATGAGACCTGACTGAATATGTGGAATGACAAATTAGACAAAATGACTTTCATTTCTAGGATGGGATGACCCCAAAAGGCAACAATAAGGAACTGGCTTGGGACAACAGGAATGGGGATGTTGTGAAAGCGTCAAGAGCTCCTCAAACATGGTGGGGGGTGAACACAGACCACCACTTTTACCCACCTTAAGTCCTTCTTCATGGAATTGAGCTGCCCCTGCAGCTGCTCGTTCACATCTATCTGCTCCTCCAGCTCCCTCTGCAGCTTCTTCTTAGAACTTTCCAGTCTGTCGATTTCCTCCTCAGCCTCCTCTACCTGTCGCTTCATTGCTTTCAGGCGCAAGCTCAGCTGCATTGGGAGAGAGGGCGGGTTGAATGCTGGCTGAAGGCCATACCCAGCTAGGACATAGAAGAGGTCCGGTAGGAGATGCCAGGGGCCCAGACACCTCCTCCTTGGGCAACCAGTCTCATGGAAAAAGAGCATCCTTGCTGAGGACCAAGTTTAGGGTTTAAAGTTTACAGAGATCCCCTACTTCGGTAGGCTTTAAGTCTCTATTCTGTGATGTAAGTCAAGAGGAGGACTCGGCCCCACTCACTCCAGGCATCTGGCCTCCTCCTGCTTCCCCTGCCTCAGACACAGGATCTCATCTGAGAACAAGAGGTGCCCTCACCTGGTCCTTCTGATCGGTCAGCGACAGATGCTCATCGTCCACCTGCATCACCAGCTCCTTCACTTTCCGCTCCAGCCTTCGGTTGCTGAGCTGTAGGCTGGCCCGGTCCCTGGAAGAGCAGGGGAGGCAGAACTGAGCACCCCTCATTCTCAGCCCTGTAGGAAGCCCAGGCTGCAGAGGAGGGGACACTCTCACCAGGGGAGCTTAGGGTTGAGCTTGAGGTTGGGGAAGTAGACAATTATACAGGACCACTCTTTTTGACAAAGAAATGAGATTATGAGAAAGGGCATGACTTGTCAAAGGTGGCAAGGCCAGGGAAGGGCTGGGATGGCCTGTCCCAAGTTCTTCCACTCCTGAGCACTTAACTCTTATTTATTTATTTATTTATTTATTTATTTATTTATTTATTTATAGTTGTAGATGGACACAATAATTTAATTTATTTATTTATATGTGGTTCTGAGGATCGAACCCAGTGCCTCACACGTGTTAGCCAAGTGTTGAGCCACAACCCCAGCTCCCCTGAGCACTTAACTTTGTAAGGCAAAGAGTTACAGACTGCTGGCATTTGGGGTCCACTCCAGGCTGCTCCCTAAAAGTCCTCCTAAAGAAGCACATACATATGCATGTGTACTGCACCCCTTCTAGGAAAGTGAGGGGCCGTGAGGAAAACTAAGGCTGGCCAAGTGCATCCTGGTGCTGGTCCTCAGCCTGTGAATGAGAGCTGCAGAGAATCATGGCAACCTGATCTCACATCCCTCATCTCTGCTTGGATGCACCTGGTCCTCAGGGCAGAGTTAGCCCCCTGATCTCTAATCTGACTCAAATTCAGTTGCTGTGAGGCAAGCTGTTTTATTGAAGGGATAGAGAGAGAAACAGTAAGCATAGTGGAAAAGCTATGGTCCTAGGAACCGAGATATAAGTCTTGGTCCAGCTAGCTATGTTACTCAAGTCACTTACTCTGATGGGTCAGCTTTCTCACCCATAAAATGGAAACAATAACAGCAAAGTTGTACTTGCTCTATTTGGACTAATGAGGATGGGAAGAGATACCTGGCATGAAAGCCACTCTAATGGGATGACCATGGCCCACCAGGGCCTCTGCCCCACCCTGTACCAGGCTCACCTCTCCTCACTCTCCAGACGGTCCTCCAGTTCTGCAATCCTGGCCTCCATTTGCACCACCAGCCCTTCTTTACTGGACCTGTAGGAACCTTCCAGATGGATAATCCGACTCTTTAAGTCCTTGTTCTGGAATCAGACAGGGAGATTGTGAGGGCTGTGTGTGTGCCATGCTCTCTGAGCAAAGCAGAATATGAGATGAAGCCAAGTATTTGGGTGATGTCCATGCTAGCACACACTGGGATACAGGACCTGGGGAGCCCAGAGATGGTTGCAGAGAATACCCTTGACCTTGGGTTTTAGATGGTCAAAGAAAGAGACTATAATATCCCCCTTATGAGCCTGAAAGGAGTTGTATGGCAGGTCCTCGGACTCCCAAGTCTCACACAGCTTGGGCTTGTCCTTTTACAAAACTCTGGGGATGGGCAGGTGTCCTACCCCAAAGCCATGCAATGGGAGGTAGAAGCCCCTGGGGCCAGCTGCCCTCACCTGTCTCTCCAGGGAAATCTTGTCACACTCCAAGTCTTGCCTCACAGCTCTCTCCTGAAGTAGCTCATTCCTCATCTGCTCCATCTATAACAAGCAGAACAAAAGCCGAGAGGTTAAAGAAATGGTCCTACAAACTCTGTATTGAAATGGTTCCCAGGTGCTGAATTCCATCAACCAAGTCAAGTTTCTTCATGAAGAAGGCTGACTTAGAGGGGACCCCGCATGATGTCTGCTCTTGGACACAGCATCTATTTCTTATGTGTTCTTGGCTTTCCAAATTGTGAGGATAGTTATATGAATAACAATAACCATCATAGCTAACCCAGCTGTTATAGGCTGAATTGTCTCCCCCAAAAGATATGCTAACACTGTACCCCTTGCTAGTTCTGATGTGACCTTAATTGGAAAGAGGGTTTTTTTGCAGAAGTGATCAGGTTAAAAAGAGACACTGAGGTAGGCCCTAATCCAGCATGACTGGTATCCTTATAAAAATTAGGGAGTCTGGATGCAAAGACAAATGTACACAGGGGGATGCCTGCCTTGTGAAGACAAAGATCGAGGGAGAATGCCCTCTGATGATGGATGACTGCAGTGACGGATCTATAGTCCAAGAAGTGTCAAAGATTGTCTGCAAAACACTGGAAACCAGGGAGGCAGCGAGGAAGGATTCCTGTAGGTCTGAGGCTCTGCCAACAGTTTGATTTCAGATTCAAGGCCTCTAGAACCATGAGACAATGCTTCTTTGTTCTAAGACACCAGATTGTTACAGTAGTCCTAGGAAACTTGATACACTCGCTTAGACTCCGTGACTGCACTATTATCCTGTGACATTCCCCCCAAAACCCCGAGAAACAGGTAATATTATCTCTACTGAGGACATTAGGGCTTGGGGAAGTTAATCACTTATAAGGGGATTAACTGCCAAGTATCCCTGGGACTGAGGATTTCTCGGGCACGGGACTTTCAATGCTAAGATTCGGGAAGTCCCAGGCAAACCAGGATTAATCACTTGACTTACCCATGATCTACAGAAGTGGCACTAGAGAGGAATGAGTATCCACCTGAGCTCCTGCACTGCATTACAAGGCCACACTTCAGAAAGGGCTTCCTTTCTCATTCCAGAAAGGGAAGTCAGAACCTGGGGCAGCTCCAGGCCCAGACTAAAGGCTGTGAAGTCATCTTCATATAGAGGTAGGAGAGGAGCCTCACCTAGCAGCACAGGCAAGAAAGCCTCTCTCCTGTCACCATCTCCTCTCTTAAGTGCCAGTGCACCTCCTCAGCAGGAGTGACACTGAATGTCAGAGCAGAGGTCCCAGAACTAACCAGCAGAGGGCACCCTGAAGAAGGCAGGAGAACTCAGGTGAGCCAGTACAATAAAATCACCCATTCCTTAAGGATGAGAAACACATTCCAGGGTCCAACATAAGAGAGGCAGATACACAGGGCCTGTGGAACATTTGAAATAGGATCACCTGGCCACAAGTTGAGTTTTTGCCATCTGTGCAAATACCCTAATGAGAAAGATAGACCTACCTTCCCCACCATCTCCCCCAGGGAGCAAGAACTGCAGGTCATGGAAATGATAAGAGGAGACACCACCATATTGGGTCAGGCTTGCATTTGCTGCCTCATCCCCATTGTCCTGACCATGGCATGTGCACAGAAGGTGTGGCAACAAGGTGTGGCAAGGAATGAGGCTGACAGGACAGGCAGGACCAGACATGGAGGCCTCAGATATCCCCACCTAAGGTCCCAGTTTCCTCCTAAGGTATCTTTATATTAAAACAAAAACAAAATTTCTACTTTTGAACTCCTGACTAGCAGCCTTCTAAGTCATGGGGGTTCTGAATTTTACGACAGACAAAACTGAGGCCCAGGGAGGTTATAGAAGCAGCTACACGAACCAGACTAGAACCCAGGACAAGCTGGTTCACCGTCCACTCCTTCACCTGTTCTGTCTCTCTGGAACAACTAAGTGAAAAGGATCCACATGGACCTAGAGTTCAAATACAACTATAACAAGCCAAGACACATGCAGGGGTGCCAAGGGGATGAACGGAGGTGTCCTGTGCTCAACTCAGCCACAGAGGAGAGTCAGAGCACAAAGGAAAAACAACATTTTGAGGAGAATGAGAGAGTGTGAACTCCACAAATTAGCAAAGACATAGTAGGGATCCTAAGCAGCACAAAAAAAATGGGAATGGCAACCCAGAGAAATGAATAAAGAAATTGAGACTGCAATCCTGTTCCCCTGCTGGGGGTTGGGAACCCAACACTGCTGACAAAAGGTAAGCTAGAAAATGCCACGAAACTTCATCATAGTGGTAGACTGGTTGTCCTAACTGCAGGAGAAATCACGGTTCTAGAAAGCTTTAAACGTAGTTTGGGGAGCTAACTGATTTAAAGTGACTCCACTGATCCAAAGAAGGTTCTCACTTTAGACTTCTCCCAATAGCCACTGCTAGATATAGTGGTAGGAGAGGAGCCTCAAATACCTAACCCTCCAGAAGCCCTGAGGTAGTGTGTGCCCCCCCTCACTGGGTAGAAGACAGGTTCCTCAGCATCATGCAGCTTCAATACCAGTGGCTGCCATCACTATAAGCCTAACTCCCACCCAAATTTGGCATGCAGGAAATAGGGAAGATCTTCTTTCCATGGCCTGGAAGACTTATAGAACACCTCCACAGCCCACAGACTTCAGACCACAGTCACTGGTACTCAAAGCCTCAGTAACACTTGATTGTCTCCGAGACCAAGAGAAGATAACATCTGGGTCCCACAGCTCCACAAAATCAGTGAACAGTGCTAAAAACCCCATTACCAACTGCAGTTGCTCCATGGGGCCATGGGAAGGTCCTCTTTGTGTTCCAAAACTTTATCCCAGTTTCCAGTGCCATAACCAAAGTACCCTTTGTGTTCATTGGAGGGACTGAGGAAAGGCTCCAGAACTCTCTTGCATTCATCCCAACAGTCCTGGGGAAGGTCTCCTTAACATCTGGTGGCACAGGAACCATGGCTGCTGGTGCAAAAACCCTTGGAGTCCCCTGTCCTTGTCCTGAGAGATATGGAGACAATCCTCTCCACAACCCACACCACTGAGACTGTAGCAGCTGCTGCCCCCAACCCCAGCACCATCAGGGCTCAACTCTGATACACACCTTTGGAAGCCTAAATCCACTGCAAAATCATACCACTGCCTTCAGGAACTGCTGCAGTTTAGACTGCTGAGGCACTAGATATGAAAGACAAGTCACACAGACTGTTTTTAAGTTCCCTTATAGCCAAACCACTTATCTAACTGAAAAACTATATGCTATCTAAATGAACAAAATCTTTTCCAACAAAAGCTACTTCATAAAATTGGGAGAAACAAACATTACACAAGATGTGCAGACAGAGAAACATGTAAGGACAGAGAAACATGATGCTTCCAAAAGACAACAATTCTCCATAAATTGATTTCAATTTGAAGAAAGTCAATAAATTGCAGCAGGAATTAATCTGTCTAAACAAAGTTCAGTTCCTGATGACTTCACTGTTGAATTCAATAAAACATTTATGGAACTGTTCTAATTCTTTTAAAATTATTCCAAAGAAAAATGAAAATGGACTAGGCAACAAACTAAAAATAAACAAAATGGGATTATATCAAACTAAGAAGCTTCTGCACAATAAAGGAAATAATCAATAGAATTAAGAGATAACCTACAGAATGGGAGAAAATATTTGCAAAGTATTCATCCAACAAGGGAGTGAAATCCAGAACAAAGAACTCAAAAAAATTGAATCATTGTGTGTGTGTATGTATGTGTGTGTGTGTGTGTGTGTGTATATATATATATATATATATATATATATATATATATAACATATACATCTCCAATTCAACAATGGGCTAAAAAACCATAGATGCTTCTTAGAAGAAGATACAAATTGCCAACAAGTACCTAAAAATTAAAAAAAAAAAAAACCTGCTCAGTCTCATTTATCACCAGAGAAATGCATAACAAAACTATAGCAAAATATCACCTCACCCAGTTAGCATAGCTATGAAACAAAATGCTGGCATATAAAAGAGGAATTCTTAAACAAATTTACATTCCCATCAACAGTGTATATCTATTATAGAAAACAGTGGAGCAAACCCTCAAAAAAAATTATAATATACTCTAGCAATTCCAATATTGAGTGTATCCTAAAGAAGAAATTATTGCAACAAAAAGATATTTGGACTCACACATTTATTACAGCACTATTCACAGTAGCTAAAATAGAGAGTCACTCAAATGCCTTTAGTGGGTGAATGGATAAAGAAAACGTGGTATATTTAAACAATAGAATACTATTCAGCTATATATAAAAAAAGAATGAAATCGTGTCATTTATAACAACATGGATGGAACTGGAGGTCATTATGTTAAATTAAATAAGCCAGACACAGAACAACAAATCCCACATGTTCTCATACATTTGTGGAAACTACTAAGTCAAAATGGAGTAGAGGTCACCAGGTAAGGGAAGGAACTTCTATAAAAGACGCCAAAACAGAGAGGAGGAATTACTTCTGGTTCTTCTTCAGCACAGCACTAACTACAACAATATGAGATACTTAAAAACGACAAGGGGAGTATGGAAATCCCCCACATAACAATGATTAATGGTTGAAGAGCTGAAAATGCTTATGACCCCGACTGACTTCACATACTGTGTGTGTGTATTGAATGACCATAGTGTATCCAAAGGATGAACAAATATGTCTCAAACCAAAATGCTAATAAAAGAAAACACCCAGGGGCTGGGGGTGTGGCCCAGTAGTAGAGCACTTGCCTAGCATGTGTGAGGCACTGGGTTCGATTCTCAGCACCACATATAAATAAATGAATAAAACAAAAGTCTATCAACAACTAAAAAAATATTTAAAAAAAGAAAGAAAGAAAGAAAAAGAAAGCAGGGGAGGCCATCCAGTTTCCTTAGGGCATCTTGTAGAGAGCAAGGAAAAAATGCCAGCAATGCAAAGGCTCAGCAGGCAGATCCCGGAACACTCCGCCCCAGCCCCTCCATTCCACTTGCCCCCAGAGTCCTGA